CTCCCAAAGTGCTGGGAATACAGGCATGAAGTACTGTGCCCAGCCTGTACCACAGTTTTAATGCATTCTCTTATTTTTAAACTTTGTTTTCAAGTTTTCTCATTATTATAAATAGCAGTATGATCAGCATCTTTATGTAACTCTGATGAAATCTTATTATTTTTCTCAATACAGATTTTTTTTTTGCAAGGACAAGGACATGAACATTTTCCCTATTACAAATAGGTCTATGTATGTGCCAGATTGCTCTTTAGAAAGGCATTATCTGTTTTTACTGCACTAGTAGTGAACAAAAATTCCAGTGGTATCGTGCTTCATCAGGAATAAGTAAGATTGAAAAGTCTTTTTCTTTTTGTTCAATTGACAGATGGAAAATCACTTAATTTCTTAAAATTTATATTTCTTTGATTATTAATAAGGTTGAATGGTTTTTCAAAATTGTGTTGGTCATTTGTTTCTTTCTTGTATTCTTTACTCATTTGAAAATATTTATTCAGATCAAGGGGTTTTTCTGCTTTTTTTCTTTGTCTTTCTATTTTCCTTTTTTTTGAGTTGGATTATCACTCTGTCACCTAGGCTGGAGTGCAGTGGCATACTCACAGCCACCCCAGTGTCAACTGACTGGGCTTAGGCGATGCTTCTGCCTCAGCATTCCAAGTAGCCGGAACCATAGGCACGCGCTACCACTCCTGGCTAATTTTTTGATTTATTGTAGAGATGAGGTCTCGCCAAGTTGCCCAGGCCGTTCTCGACCTGGTGGGCTCAGGTAATCCCCTTACCTCGGCCTCCCAAAGTGCTGGGATTACAGACTTGAGTCACTGAACCCGGCTTGTCTTTCTATTCCTAAAAATTCTTTATATATCAGAACATTTATCCTTCATTCACCATGGTATATGTTATGAATATATCCTTCTGTTTTGTGACTCTACTTGGTTTTGGTGTTTTTAGATGTACAAAAGCATACACTTTGTATATTCAGTCAAATTCTTCAGTATTTTACTCGGTGACTTCTGTCTTTATTAAAAATTTTGTTTCTGGCGTAGCAAATATTTCCTTTCACCAATCAGATAGTCTGAACATATCCTTATAGTTTTATAAGTTTTTATAGTAAAAAACTTAAAGTATTTAAATCACCTGTAATGCATGGGCGCTTATTTTGGTATCCAATGTAAGGGGAGGTGCTATTGGGTTCTTTTCCATATAACCTTTTTTCCCAATGTTTGTTTTGTGATTTGCTTCTTCCCTGCTGGCCTGGATTTCTGATTTCTGTATATCACAGTGTCTGCTTAGTCCCACCTATTCTCTACTCGGTAACTTCCTCAAAAATGTTCTTTGCTTTGTTTGAAATATTTGATAGATCAAATTTCTTCATTCTTAAAACAAAAACACCCTAGCTTTCTCTATCTAGGTTTTTTGTGTGTGCGTGGATAAAATTCAGAACTATCTTTCCAATTTCCCTTAAAAATTATCCTGTTGGTACTTTAATTTTGTATATATTAGCCTATGAATGCATTTGAGAAGTGATCTTTTCCAGTATTTGGGTTTTTTAATGGATAGATTGATTATACGCTGAAGTGCAATCAGAATCTAGATGGTGTTTCTTTCTTTTCTTTTTTCTTCTTTTTTTTTTTTTTTAAATCAGGATTCATTGAGAGGATAGAGAAGCTCCCAGAGCTGGAGGGAACCCAAGGGGGTTGCCCTAGATGGCGTTTCTTTTTTTTGAGTTGGAGTCTCTGTCGCCCAGACTGGAGTGCAGTGGCCGCTCCCAGCCACCGCAGCCTCGACCTGCTGGGCTCCAGTGATCCTTCCACCTCAGCCTTCCAAGTAGTTGGAACTACGGGTGCGCGCTACCACGCCCGGCTGATTTTTTGATTTATTGTAGAGATGAGGTCTCGCTGCCCAGACGGGTCTCGAACCCATGGGCTCCGGCAGTCCACTCACCTCAGCCTCCCAAAGGTGCGGAATTACAGGCTGAGTCACCGAGCTCAGCTCGAGATGGTGTTTCTTAAAAGATGAGGAACTGTGGTCTTCTAGAGATATTAACAGGCATTTAATAAGATCAAGTTAGGTAATCCAGTGTGTGCTGAAAGTGGGAACAGGGGAGATGAAGAATCTGCCTTTCAGATGTTTTAGTCGTAATGATTTTATTCAACAAGTATTGACTGGTAGCTTACCATGTGCTAGGCTTCTGCCAGACTGACCTCGAAGAGCTGGAGAGCGAGTAGTCCTTGCTCTGAAAGCGGAGATTTGGTTAGAAATGAAGCATGTGTGTGGTACAAGTTGAGCATCTCTCATCTGAAAATCTGAAATCCAAAATACGCCAATATGATGCGCAAAGGAAATGATCACTGGAGCATTTTGGATTTCAGATGAAAGATGCTCAACCAGAAGTATAATCCAGATGTTCCAAAATCCAATAAAGTGTGAAATCCTAAACATTTCTGGCTTCAAGTATTTTGGATAAGTGATACTTAACCCTTAAAAGACTAGCTCAGAGTAGGGCATGAGGAGATGGGAGGACAAGGTCCCAGGGAGGTATCACAGAACAAGACAGGCCTTATGCTGAGTCTTGAGGAAGAAGGGATGTTTACTGAGTAGACAGCTGGGAAAGTCTCTCACGAAGAGAGGTCATGTAACTGAGAAGTGAAATCATGTGATTCGTAGAGTAACTGCAGGTAGTTCAGTGTACTTGAAATGGAAGGTGAAAGTTTCCAGGAGCTGCAGTCAAAAGGCCTAGAGCTGATCCCAGAGGGTGTTCCCTATGCTGCCTAGAGCTGGGCTGTCTTAGCTAGCCCCCCTGGAGCACGGGGTCTCTCTGTGGAAGCCAGGCTTTTGTTTTATTTTTTTCAGACTGTTGCAGACTGATGCTTTGTAAAATGCAGTGCGACTCAATAACTAGAAATATGAAAAATACAACCCTCATTTTTTTTAATTATTAAGATTTGAGACCTAAAATTGCCTGTCATATTGCTATAAAAGTTTCTAAACACTTGTTCTCTGTTTCTGTGTCTGTCTCTTGGGGATAAGTAATAGCAGGTTCTGGAACTCCTCTGTGGACCACACCTGAGTAGCACCATGCCAGCCTCCTGGATCAGTGGGGAGGACGTGGCTAGGGGCTGGGAATTTTGTGACAGATCATTTTAGTCAAAAGACAAGGTAGACCTGTGGGACGGTGTTCATGCACAGGAGAGTCCAAGAACCGCTTTTGTAGGTGATGCTGAGTTATTCAAGGGAAGTCACTAAATAGTTGACTCATATTCTTACAGCTGTATTGTTTGAATCTTGTGCTTAAGTCACAATTTAAAAAAACTTGTCAAAATAAGTGAATAAAATGAAGTACCTTACGGCAGGTTTTTTCCTTTCCAGATGAAAGCAATGTTTTTCAACCTTGGCAGCATATTAGAATCAGCTGGGACTCTTTAGAAGCTACTGATGCTGGGTCTCACCCCTCAAATTAGTTTGGAGGATGCAGCCTTAACATCAGGATTTTTAACCCTCCTCCACCCCCCGAATCTGATCTGCAGCCAACTGTCTCCCACTTGGGGTAGGCTAATGATGCATCAAGTTTTCTGATAGAGAATTTATGTAAAGAACATAGCACAGGAATAGTCCTCCAGAACTATCAGTTGAATTTAAACCTGAAGCCTGATATGAAGTTTAAGTACAATAATCTTGCATATACTGGATGCTATAATAATTTTCTTCCAATCCTCCCCACCAAATACCATTACGTATTTCTATTACAATTGATGGTATACATTTCTTTCCCTTAGCTTATTCAGTATCTAGAATATGTGATATAGCATTAATAAATACCCTTATAAATGAAAACTTGTGAAATCTTGATTCTTCTATTGCTTACTTCACCTGTCACCCAATTTCACTATTGCAGCAGTAGTGGCACCAGTATTTGGGTGTCATAGGAATCTCCAAAAAAGTCTTATTAGAACAACTTGACATGAACATGCCTATTATCTCAAATATAACTACTGCTGGATTTTAAATATACAATTCCTTGAAATTATTTATTCAAATGTGATTTTAGAGTATATTAAAGAATACAGATATTTTGGAATACTTATTCAAATATTTTAGAACTATTTTTTTTTCTATTTTGCTGATGTGCTTGCTCTTCATGTGCTGAGAGCTCTGAACAGTGATTCATCTAGTCAGCAAACAGGTTCTAGGCACCTCCTTGACTTTGCTAGGCATTGGAGATGCCAAGTTTATGCCCCCAGTCCTTCCAATAAGGAGTAACACAGTGGCATGCCACTAGCTTCTAGGTGGGACAGCTGTCATGTGTGCAAAATAAATCATTTTGTCCCCTTCCTCTATAATTTCAATTCTGGATATATTAGTCTTATTTGCTTAACCATCTCTCCCCTCCTTTCTTCCCTCCTTGTTTTTAAAGAAAGTTACAATACTTAGGTGGGGGGGGACACGACATTCTAAAAGTAGTTCTACCATCGAGTTTTGAACATGTGGGGCCGTCATTCGATCCATCTGAACCTCGGTTTCCTCTGCTGTAAAAGGTGATACCGTTCTCACCCTTCCACCTGAGTTACGGGAATCATGAAAGAGGCTGTATGTAACATTAACATCAAAAATTTAAATATACAGCCAAAGCGTCCGCGGGCTTCCTAAAACAATCTTAAGAAGAAACGAACAAAGAAAGAAACCACACGTATATTGTTTCAGCAAAACACGTGGGGTTCCCGAAGCCCCACGGTGAAGTGACACAAAAGTTACATTCCGTGGAGGTTTGCTTCCATGATGGATTTTTTACTTGGCGCTCAGCTCCTGAAAAAGAAACTCCCCGGGTTTTCCTTTTCCTCCGACGGTTTTGCGGCGGCCGGCCGGGCCGCTTCCTGCCCAGAGCCGCCCCGCCAAGGCCCCGCCGAGGAGGCGCCCCCGCTCCCGCGGCTCCTTCTTGCAAACCCGGGTGGGTCTGGAGGCTGCTCTGGCGCCGCAGCCCTCGCTGACCCCCGCGGCGCCCGGGCGCAGTGAGCATGCTCGGCGCCCCTCCTGCGGGAAGAGGAAGCTGGCTGCATAGGAGTCACACCGAGCGTAGCCAGCATGTCAGCGCAGTCAACTTGCAGCGGGCTGTGAGGGCGGCGAGCGGGGCTTTGTCCTAGGAAGTGCGCGGCGTGCTTTTCTTTATTACCCCCGCTTCATCTCCAAGAACGACTCGTAAGGCCTTCGAAACGCTTTTCTTAACGCTCCACTGAGGATACAGCACGTATACCGTCTACCAAGAAGCCCTTGACGGGTTTTGTCGGAGTGTGGTTGTGTGTGCGCGCGCCTTTTTTTTTTTTTTTAACTTTTACATACTTTGTTTTGATCGTCGGAGGCCGGGCCTCCGTCTTTGGGAAGTCGAAGAGAAGAGCCAGGAGCTACTCAGCAACACTTGATATTTTGAAACCTCCTCTTTTGGGGCGAAGGCAAAGAGCTGGTTTTCTTTGCTAGCCCGATAAATGCTATTTATGAAGATGGACCTGTTGAACTACCAGTACTTGGACAAGATGAACAACAACATCGGCATTCTGTGCTACGAAGGTAGGGGTCCGTTCGGGCCGGGGCTGCGCTTTTGCTTTCGAAGCGTGTTCTGGTCGCCTGCTGAGCCTTCCGTCCGCTTTCTCGGGACCGCAGGGTGCTGGGAAAGGCCAGGTGTTCGCGGCGGACGGTTTTCAGCACGGAGTTTGCTCGTCTCTGAGCCTCGGGGTTACAGTGGAGAGGGCCGGACCCGGAGGCGGTGGACTAAGAGCTGTGAAAGTTTGCTTTCTGCTTGCACGGTACTAACTCCTGACATTTCTGACTCTGGAAAATGTCGTGTCTTCTGTATCCCCCTAGGTCTTTTCCTTGAGGGAAGAACTTCTGAGACCCAAGTAAAAGTTAAACATGTCGGGGGTGTGTGTGTGTGTGTGTGTGTGTGTGTGTGTGTGGTGGGGGAAGGGCTACGATACTTCTCTGAAAGATACCACCCTCCCCGGCGTTCAGGTCGTGTTTCGGCAGCGCTCTGGATTCTCGTGTCGAGGGGGAACAAAAAGTTACAGTGAGCGTTCGGTTTGGGGCGTGATTGTCTCACACAATGAGGAATTTTGCTTCGGAGCGTGGGGGGCTGGAAGGGCACCCGTGTCACAGAGCACAGACTGGCTCTTTGTCTGACTTCCCACTTCCTGTCCAGCGCGGAGAGGGTTCTGACACTGAGGGATGTTCCCTTCACACTCCGGTCCCTTGTGGGGGTGATGACACAACACGCCGACCCGCACGCCAGGCCTTAGCACAAAGAAAAAGAAAGAAACCCGCTCCGAATCCTTCTTGTTTGTTGCTTCCCACTCCCCGTGAGGTGTTTCCCCACCGTCTCATAACAGTTCACGCGGCCTCTGGCAGTAGTAGGAGAAAACAGCGATTTCTTCATCCACTGGACCATTATCTACGTGCGATTTGAAAAAGCGGTAATGGCCTGGGTTTGAGTGGCCGAGGGGCATCTCTAGGGGAATTCGGCAAGGCAGGAAGAGTATTTTTCGCTGTAGCCAAGTCCGAATGAGGGGGACTTCTCCTTTATGGTTCAGTAGGAGTAGTTTCTGTTATTTCTTTTTCTCCTATAGTAAATTGAAACATTTTCTCCTGAAAAAGAAGAGGATAGTTGTAAAACTTGGTAGGGCGATTCACTGGTATTTTTCATGTAAAAATTTCAGGTTAGTTTCCTGATCAGTTACCCCCTTCAAGGAAAAAAATCTTATTCAGGTTGTTTTTTTTATTGAGTTCTATGGATTGTGTTGTATTGAAAGGTTTTTAAAAGGTTTTTTTTTTTTGAGTGTTGTTTGTTTTACTACAAGTTCCAGTTATGAGAATGTTGGTAAATTGCTTTCTTTGAATCTTCTCTGTCAGATATCATCTTCTAAGCTCACTTAAAAGGCAGACTTATTTAGAAAGGGATAAGCAGGGAGTGACTGGGCTTGTTTTCTATGAAATTAATATATTGTGGTTCCTCTTTTTTTTTTTTTTAACTTTTTTGAGTGAACAAGAAATAAAAACTTTGAAGGCAATTTCTGTTGTATAGTCTTTGTCAACAAGTTTTTTATATATATATATATCTATATATATATATATATATTTTTTTTTTTTGAGTCTGGGTCTCGCTCTGTTGCCAGGGCTCATCACAGCTTTGTACTTCTGGGTTTAGGCGATCCTCTCTCCTCAGCCTCCTAAGTAGGTGGGACTATAGGCGTGCCACCACGCCTGGCTACTCTGTTTTTTGTAGACATGAGACTGGTGTTGAACTCCTGGGCTCAAGCAATCCTCCTGCCTTGACCTCCCAAAGTACTGAGATTACAGGCGTGAACCACTGGCCCTGCCCCTAATATGATATTTAAAAAACAAAACAAACATAATGCCCAGCCTATGAGAGGAAAATAAGGATTGTTAGGAAATTAATTAATTTTTCATGTCTGTGATTGGTGGTGGTGAGGACCAGCTTATGGAACGTTTGTCCAGGTGATTTCTTATTATGTCGCATGCCATGTACATGAGGGTAGTTCTTTCTTGATATTTAGGAAAAAGAAACCTTGATTTTGAAACTTGAGTAGATATATGGGATAATAGGCTAAAGTCTGTTTAGTTTAAACATCTGTTCCTATTTTCCTTATTATGAAAGTTAACATTATTTTAGCACTAAAATAAATACACAGGAAATGAAGAGAAGCACAGCAAAATTTGAGTGGTGTTTATAGTGAGTTGTTTATGTCCTAGTGGTTATCTCAGTGTAAACACTGCACACATCTGTTCCGAACTCCAAAGGGTGTTTTGAAGATGGGCATAAATCATATGTGGGATTTTTTTGGTAATAAAAGTTGGAACGGTTATGGTTCTTTAAAATTCAACACTGAGAATATTCATTTCAAACGTACCGGCTCCCCAGCATTCCAGGGAAGTTATTTGGGAAATGGAATGTACAGTTGGTAGACAACATTTGATTTCATTTAGGGCACAGCCAAGCTTCATATCTCTTAAGAAGGGACAAATGAATTTTCTGACATTTTTGTTTTACAGAGTAAAATGAGGTTGGTCATTTATTCTCATCATCTCTTTAGTTATACCACGTTCCTTAGTTGTATTAGACGCAGCTCTACTACCCAAAATAGACTCTGCCTCTGCACCATCTTTCTTCATCTTGTCTAGTTCTTGATCCACAAGCAGATCTTTTTAACCAGTTGCCTTGTAGCATACAAACTCTTCCTGAAATCTTACTTTAAAATCAACTCTAACTTGTTTAGATATCGACTCCTGCTCCCTGGCACCTGCCTTTCACCATAGTTGTCTGTGAGCATAACCGAAAAGAGAATGAAGGAAAAAATTAACCACAAACAGTAAACTTGGAGTGGGGGGTGGTTGGGTTAGGAGAGGAAGATGGGAAAAAGAACCGAAGAACCCAAGTCTGGCTAACGTCTGAAAACTAATTACCTTCACTAATGATGAGCAAATTAGCAGAACTGTGCTTGTGTTAATGTGTCTGTTCAAAAGCCTCATGGTTTATTACTACCATACTTAACAGTTAACCACTTCACCCTTCATCACCCCACTGAATGCTCAAATTATACCCACGTGAAACCCAGTTTTGCCTCTGTCTCCATGAAAACATCCCAGGCCAACTCCAGCCCTCTTCCCCTCCCCCCCACTTCTGAGCTCCTAGAAGGATGAAAGCCTTATGAAGGCAGGGCATTCTGTCTTGGTGATCTCTGCTTCTCCAAGTTCTAGCACAGTGTCTGGTTAGACTCTCAGGAAGTCATTAGAATAAAGGCTGACTCAAAAAAAAAAAACAACTAAAAACTAATGCAATCTCTCCAATGGCAGTTGTAGTTGCTACTGTATAATTTAGCACTTAATTATACACTGCCTTGTATTCCCTAATTATCTAATTATTGCAGTACTTTACGGAGCCTGAAACATCATTTAATACTTTTGTCAAGTTTTTGCCGAGGAAACTGAGGCCCAGAGAGGTAAAATTAGGTTTATTCAGAAAGTTTATTCAGCTGATTTAGAAAGTTGTGACTGGATTAAATCAAGGTTAGAACCCAGTGCTTTTGACTAGACTGTGATATTTCTGTACCATACTGCCTCTCCAAAGTTATTTCATGTCTCATCTCCTCTATTAGCCCATTGATGTTAGAGGCTGTGCTCTGAGTGGCCCAGGCCCCAGCACAGGGAGGACATCCTGGATTACAGTGCAGAGTGAAGCCTTGCTTCCACTTCTCATTGCTCTGCAACCAGTTGCTGGTCCAAGTTCTGAGGCTGTTGTGATATGCAGGAAAGAGTTGGAACGATGCCTCTGGGGTGGGGGAGCAACCTCGTTGGAACGTGTTCTCCCTGCTCCTCTGACACTTAGGTTTTCTTTCGTTTTTCTGACTGTGCAGAGGAGGCAGTCCTGTGTAAATGCCAGTCCATAGACAGTGAGTCCCCAAGGGAGCTGGGGCCAGGTTAGGCCATTGGCTTTCCTCAAGATGGCTGACAGTTATATTTACGTAATTACTTGGTGCTGAAAACTTAGGTACTAATAAATGTGCTCATGGTTGACTGTAGCTTTATGCTGCTGTTAGTGATACTTTAATTATAGGTTAGGAGCCATTAGTGTATAATTTGGTAGAAGTTCTCTCCTTTTAATTTAAAAGTATGGTTTATTGGGAGAAAGTAAGAATGAATTGTGTATTGTGATCCTCTCAAAGCTTAAGAGTATTCTGAGTTCCTCAGGTTTTAGATCCGATCATTGTGTTAGAACTTGTTTTATCACAGATTACATTTAAATTAATTTTCTGGAATTGAAGGGAAAATGCACACACCAGAGTTGCTGTGTTGAGTGAGACCCTGGGATCTTTTGTTTTCTTCCGCCAGTCTCACCACCAGCAGTTTAATGGAGTCCTGATTTCATTGTTCTTTGTCTAATGAGCTCAGAGACCTCACAGGTAACTTAGGAGCTTTGGGTACTATTCAGGTGAAAAGGCCACAGAGTAGGGCCTTTTTGTACCAGCCTCTAGTCCCCGGCCCTGCATATCAAGGGACAGGCTCTTGATCTGGGATGTTTTCCGAGGTAGAACATCTGTAACTGTTTTGCTGTGGAAATTCATTTTACTTCAGCTTTTTACTTGTATGAAAGGGTAGGGAGTAAGGGTGGGAGTAAGGAGTCCCCCGGGGAGGGAGGGAGAGCGAAGGAAAGAGAGAAGAAAAGGAACAGAGAAGAGCTTGACTAATAAAACATGCCCAGGTGAGCCTAAGAGCTCTTTCGAGAGAGACCTGGCCAGTTTGTGTTTCTCCTAATTACAGTTTGTGAAGGGAAGGTGTGATTATACTCTTCTTCCTTCCAGCTCCCCACCCGTTTTTCAGCCTTCTTCCCGAAGGATTATTTTACTTGGCTGTTTATCTCTTGGAGCCTGCACTTGGCTCATTTTGGAAGGCATATTTGTCTTCCTTCCTCTTTCCCTTCCCTATTGTCTGCTTTGCCTTATATTCCTAGGGTGTTTGAATTTGTTGCTGTGGAGAGTTTTAAAACATGCTGTAAAGAT